GCAAGGTGCTCTTCAAACACAAGGTTCCCCCTACAAGAATGAGGTGCTTAGCGTCCTTCTGTTTTCTATAGTTTGTAGCGCCTGAAAAGAATGTCGGTTGATATGATGTTTTAGTTGTAGTTAGTTTTAGTTGTTTAGTTGTAGTTGATGAAGTTTTATGCGATAGCCGATGTTTCGGGGATGCGGTCTACACATTCAAAATCATCATGCAGCGTAGGACGCACCGCTAATGAGTATACATCTGACCTAAGTGGTCTACTAACCTATCACTTCCTTGCCTTTATCACTCCCAAGTGGTCCGGTAGCAGTTCGCCGATTTCGGAAGGATGGAAGATTTGATGTGGTCCTGTCCTTCATGGAATTGTCGATCACGTGCACACTGCATGACACCTCAAACGATGAAATACAAGTGCTACCTTAGATATTGATGTTGATCATAAAATCGTGTCATATCAGCTAGTTTGACGTATAGTCAACAAGCTTGTATATACTGTGTAAATGAAACACAATTCATGACATTTTCCACAAGAATTTTCTAGATTTCCAAAACAACACTCCAAAGTAAGTTAACGTTTCCTTTTGTTTGGCAAATCTATCGTAAAATTCTTCGTCAAATTTCACCCCTAGAGATAGTGTTAATCCCGTAATATCATGCTCAGCCACTTGGAAAAATATTGGGATCTTTTGAATGGCCACCGCCGGAAGCTAATTGAAATATGAGAGATGAGTCACTTTGTTAATGCCCTTAGCCTTTACTGATTGCGCAATAGTTCGATGAAGGGCCGGTTGAGACGGATGTTCTTTTGAAAGGCAAAAGAACCATCTACTTCCATAAAGCTGATAAAGTCGAATTTTTTATAGCCGCTTTTTAAACGAAACATTTCTTATATCATGACACATCAGTCTATTGTTTGTTAACACTGTTTATAATCACTGCAGACCTAGAGCGAGCTGCAACTTACGCCTAAAAAAATTGCATGCCATAAAAGGACAAAAGCCACAGTGTTCAGTGTTCAATCCCTCAAAAATTGTTTCATACATTCGATTTTACTAGTGATATCATAGGATTGAATGAGTGCATATTTGGCCAGTAGAAAGGCCTCTAAAAGTGTGCCGATGTACCACGCCGGCATTCTGCTCTTGAAAAACATCTATTTGCCAACACTAGTTTATAACATGCCACCTTTTCAGCTCCGTCTTCGATAAATGATCTGCTGAGAGGGGACTCAGGTGCAACAAGTTTGACCAAGCTAAATGGTATAGATTTTTATGAGTGCTCACAGAACATATTTTTGTAGAGGCTTTTCAAATAGAAGTCCTTAATTTCGTAGATCCTAATTCTATAGAGCCCTTCAAATACATACTTTTGAACGGTGCTGCTTTACTCGAGTATCTAGGTCTAATATGCATAAACCTTTTATTTGTCTTGCTAAGAATAATTTGTTAATTTCTACATCGTTTATCGATACTTCGTTTTCTGATTCTGAACTGTTATTTGGTTTGACTTTTTATTTATTTAACGACAAGAAGCGAGAACGGAGCATCGCCGTGATCAGTAATTTGCTGAGAAGAAAGTAAGGTAATATGCAAGGCTCTGGCTTCAATCGTTTACACAGCACTCTCTTGCAAACATTCAGCAAATACTTTATGAAACGTCATAAGAGATGTCTCAGCTCGGCTACCTCCAGATTTGCAGGAGTCGTCTCAACGAATGTTCTTCACCAATCATAAAGAAGGAGAACCCTCAAGCAGCAATCTAAGCAACACGTGACTTGAAGACCCTGTGTGAGGTGTGAGTGTGCGCGGAAACGAATAAAGTGTAAGAAGTGCTGGGTTTCGCGCAGTGACTTGTGGGAGCGGGTCGCAGTCAATAAGAGATCACAAATAGACAAAAGCGCGACTTGTTCACTGAGCTAGGATCTCATAAGATTTCAACTACTGTATAGAAATGACATCAATTAACTATAGAAAATGACCAAGGCTTAAGTATCTAGCATCAAGCTATCCGGTACGGAATAACTTTGAAGCCTATCTGCAATAGAATGGCGATTTTATCTTTCAAAGGGGATATGGTGCTATTGCCTTTACCGTAAGACTGTCGGATTCACTAGCTTTGAAGTACGCGGCTAAACCACATTTGACGTGAATCACAGGCCTTCCGATCACTGAGCTGTGAAGCGCAATGAAATAATCAGCACCACAGAAAGTTGAATATTCCAAGTCATGACCAGCTTAGTCTATTTACAACTGTCGCTCAAATGTAACGATAAATTTTATATCATTATTAAAACTTTCATATTCCAGTGAAATCACCCGGCAGTATCTCTTCAGTCGTTGTCAGCGGTCTACACGGTCAGTATAGCTCATAATTTTTTTTTTGCAAACAAAATTGTCGTCTATTTTCAATGTGTTCACTTACTATACTATATACTCAATAGAAAGTGAATCTAATAATGCTGATTCAATATAAAAAAGTTCTTGATGGAAAAATCTTTGAGGAACACAAACTTGAAAGTTCATGTAAGCAAAATAAAGTTTGTTCAAGAAAATAATGCTAAATAATGTTAAATAATAAATAATAATATAATAAATATAATAATAATAAGTGTTGAATAATGTTAAAAATAATGTTAATAATAAAAAATAGGGTTTGTGTAGTTAATTAACACAAAAAATAAAGATAAAAAAGTTCTGCGCAGTGTGCTAAAATCTGAAAGCCATCCTATAAAAAATTCAAATAGAATATTATAACATTCTAGACAGGAATGTTATATATAAATGAAGAAATCTGATGATGTGATCGTGTTTGAGAGTACAAGCAATATATTCAAATACATTCTCTTTAGAAATTACAAATGCATAATAAAGCAAGTGAAATCAAAATGATTACAACTAAAAACCGTTATAATTTGTCATACTGGTGTCATCTATTTTCTCATCAATGACTAAGCGATTTCGGACAGCATTAGCGAAATTCCTCCGTCTCCGTTGGTTTGGCATGTCAAAGTTGAAAATGTGAGTGGATACTTCCGTCAGCTTGACACAGTGCCATAGCAAAATGGTTATTCCGATGAGCTTTTAACCATGGATTTGATGGAAGACTTGTAAGCTTAACATTGGTGTTGGAATCAACGACTATGTTTATGTCCAGTGGTCGCCATCTGGACCTATGAAAATTCTCCTTCTACTGATCGCTGATGTCCGATGCATGCATGGAGCATTCTGCTGTCAGAATAAGGAAGCTTCCAAATCAAATTCCTGATTTTGTTAGCATAATCCTCTGCAAACGTAAAACAATTTTCCACAGTGAAGAGTTTGACAGCGAACGTTTAATTTCTAAAGGGATATCACCTCGTACCTCAAGAATACCTCTCTGTATCTCCATCGTCTGAAAAAGAGTGCAGAAGTCGGTACCGAGATTTAGACAAGAAATTGGTCAAAGTGTCAAGCTCGGTAGGCTCAAAGCCAGCTGTTATCTTTTAACTCTCACAGATTCAAATTGAACTATCAATCATGCCCAGGGATATACAAACTTATGAGGCTCATAAATTAGTATTCAGCAATTATCGTGCGTCTACCGATCTTCCAACGTCCGCGGTTATACTCCTCATACACGAATTCAAGTGTGTAATAATTTTATTTAGGTACCCAGTATATCAATTGCTGAAACAACCTCGGCCCTCCTTGGAGTACGAAGATATTTTTATAACGCTTTCGACGTTTTCCATCATCTTTACCAACACTGGAATAACTTTACAATACAGCCATCTGAAAGCCCTTTGTGCAACTCAGAGAGGCAGCAAACACATATGGCCTCTCGACTTGCCAGCTCATAGCCTCTTAAACTAGTAACAAAATCGCTTAAGCTATAAATGCATTGTGCGCCGTCTCGTTGATCGTTGAGTGACTCCAGCGGGCACAAGTATGTCAATATCCCCTTATCACGTATCGACTACTGTTTTGTCATTTGCTTAACACAGGATTGGTTTGTGAAATTTTCGAATGATTTGATGTATTGCTAGTATGTACAGATTTTGAACTGTTAGCCTGTACAAAAACGGCACACGCCAAATGGTACCAGAAGCCCCCTGGGGAGAACATGCTGGTGTATTACTGCATTTTAACTTGTTGAGCACAAAAGAGCGTTTGGCAGAAGCATATTTTGAACAGTCACCAGTGTGTGTGCAAAAAAGAGCAAAAAGAATCTCTGGTATATAGCCTTACCCAATGGTTGTATAGCAGTATATCTTCGGACTAGGTCCAAAGGAAAAAGAAGTTAGAAAACCACAACTCTAGCCATAACATGATCTCGCTTAACATACTGTTTGCCTCTAGAAGTTCTTTTAGTCGTCAAGGAGTTCGTAATACTTGTACGACCGTCAATTCGCTACACCAAACTGTATAATATTTTGAACGATAAGGATGGTGATTACCAGAGTCTGTGTGATGACTTCGTAAACTGTGGTAAGGCGTATGGGTAAAAACACGGTAACGAAACGGGTAGACCAATGTCTCCTAGTTCAAAAAGAGCATGCAAGGTATTTGCACTAATTTTCAGACCCTGTAGGACAGACAGTTTTGGTTGGGTCGCTGCGAGCGTATAATCCTTTGCGGATTGTGAGAGCTATCAATCCCTCAAGCTGTTCTTTCCCGTACAGACGACTACGAAAGTAGGTGTGCGCCCTCGATAGAAGTCCAGTTAAAAAGATTTCCTAAAGATTATTGTCCTCACTAAATGATAGACCATCACTGAGGAAACTTCTGCAAGGGTAATTTGAGTATAATGGTCGTCAATGCTTACTAAAATTCCGCATTTTCTAACAAGGAAAGCATATCGTTGAAAAAAAAGAAAATATTTCGTTGCCTTTGTTGGATGTTTTTCTTACTTTATCTACGATTTTGTGGTCAGCCGATAACTCGAGAAAATCCAATTTTAATACTATGTATGATTCATAAGAAGACTTTTATAGTCATTCTACTAATGAAAAAGTTACTCGGTGTCCGCGGTGGTATAGTGGCAGCACGCGTCACCTGTATTGGTGAAATGCGGGTTCAACTCCCGTCTGAGATCGAAGTTTGCCCACCACTCAATTTTCATAAGAATACTTTGAGCATCACACAGTGCGAAAAAAAAGCAGTAAAAGCATTAAAAATCTCGAATCTATGTAAATAGAATGTCGATCAGTTTAACTTGGTTACCAGAGCGATATTTCTTACACAACCAAACCTGTTGAAGTTTGGTGACTGATAGCTATGATAAAGGGATCTTGAAGAATGAGTGGTGGGTAAACGGTGTCTTCCGTGATGTGTTGGTACCACGTATCACCGGTATGGGTGAAACGCGGACTCAACTCCCGTCTAAGGTCGAGTTTTTGCCCAGCACTCAAATCTCCTAGGTCTGCTTGAAACATCACAACACTACGTAAAAAGGACAGAAGGATTCTTGTAAACAAAAAAAAACCTTTTCAAACGGATTTTGATACTATATAGTAAAACTTTGGTTCCAAATATACTTCGATGCTATAGAAATTTAATATATCTGGAGGATTTCTAAAAATTTAGTTTTGTAAAAAGAGCGCTCAGTTGTCCGAAAATCTTTACCTTCAAATGTGAAGTATCACTGTTGACATACGAATCAATATTCTGGAATTGCTTTGATATGTTTTGACCGCAGTAGTCTTATTGAAATCTTTTCTGTCATGTTTTCTCATTTACCTGGGAGTGATTCCATCGTGGTGACGATAAAAATCTAAATTTCATCAAAAAACTACTCCGCTGCCATTGAAGCGCTATACGCCAGTTCTATCTGAAGCCGTCCGAGAAACTCATGGCCGAAAATGACCTCTGTCGCAGGGGTTAAACGGAACACCGTGTGTATGTGGGAACGGATACTTGAAAATACGCTACAGGGGTCTCTTAATTGAAGATATCAACGACGTTATTTGAATCAGCTTGGATACTCTGCTTTCTGAATTCGCTATAACGATCTTGATTGTTTTCCCTCACTGAGTTAGGTAATAGGTTGCGAAAAGATTCGGTCAAATTGCCTGTGAAAAGGATTTTCACACGGGTGTTTGTGCGAATCTAAGTTCACTAGAAAGCTCTTTGATCGAATGACTTATCACTTGTCTACACAGCATTCAGAATGAAAATGTCCAAGAAAGAATTTGCCTGCTGCTCCACTCCCACTACAAATTGGGTGTCGACACTTCTGAGGCTCATCGACAAATCTGCAGGGCATATGGTGATGAAATTTGCGATTTCGTACAGCTCTGCGTCGGATGAAGACGTTCGGTGAAGAAGAAGACCGATTGAGCGACAAGCCGAGAAGGGGACGTTCACGGGAAGTCGATCGCTAAGCAGTCATCAATTGAATTGAAAAAGATCCATCGATGAATTGCCGGATGTTAACTGACGAGTTTGATTGTGATCAAATGAGGATTAGGACCATTCTTCAGAAGACGCGCAAACAATGCTTGAAGTCTAAATGGAAATTACCTTGACTATTAATTTGTCTTTCGCTTGAATTCAGTTGGCGCAGAGATAGATTTGTTCTGAGCATCTTGGAAATAAGATATGACTTTTGCTACAACCTATTATATCAGGATCTAAAACAAAGTGAGCATTGCTGATGCTTTTACAGTCGCTTCTCACGGCAGCATCGTGCATTGGTATCAATCAAATGCACATTTTTATGCCATGTAGGACGAAAACTTGGATGCTTAGTTTCTATTTCATTAGAGTGTTTACTTTTCCTTTGGAAAATTTTTCTTTTCTCATTGTTGAATTCTTATAATGCATTTTTTTCAAGATGAGAGACAACGACAACGACAACATCAAAGTAGGAAATATGAGTCAGGTAACTTTCACCAATCTACTGTGATTCCTTCAATCCTCAGTTTTAAAAGCGCTTCAGAACGTTTCTTACTTTGATTTTCAAAAAAAGTGCGAGGAGTTGGTAATTTTTGCTGTCTATCTAATTTTTGTTGTTGGTTCTAAATAAAGGGAAGCTGTAGGTGCATCTTAGTTCGGTACAAGGGTAGAACACATTTATTTCATGAATTTTTGTCTTACGTTTGACTAGCTAATAGCACCATTGATTTGATTGATTTTTTCTTCAAATATATGAGATAAAGTTGTCAAGAATTCGTGATTTTTTCAGCTCCTTCATCTATAAACGACTTGTTGCTAAGTGCAACGAACAAAACAAGTTTGGCCAGGCTGCATGGTATCGATTTACAACATTTATAGAACATATTATCAGAGTAGATGCTCAGAGTTGTAGCGTAGAAAGAGTGCTGTGCAAAAGGGGCTTCGTTGGTGCAACGGTTAGCATACGCTCCCGGAAAGAGTGAAATCTGGGTTCGAATCCCGGCTATCGCAAACGTTTTTACACAACACTCTACATTATTGGGTATATCATCAGAGTACTTTTGTTCTTGATTCTGTATATTATGGCTTTGACGGTCTCTGAGCCCCATATTGATTCGGATTGCTGCAAAATCAATTCATTTTTCATTTTGCTACGTTATACTTGCTAACAATGGATAACTTTTCAATAAACTCGCTTTACTTGCTAAAAGTTGTGTTTTCTTGATGTCCAGAATTTCTATCATATCGTGATATCCCTAATAGTTTCACTGAGCTCAATATTCTTCTATAGCGGTAGAAACAAGACAAGTTCATTTAGCTAGACTTCATGAAAGACTTATTCTCCTGATAATTTTCATTTTGTTCTGAATTTTATTTTACACGACGCGATGTAATTCACCGCGCGTATTCCAATATTTCTTGTAATCGATTCGTTTCCTTCTCTTCACAAAGGACTTTCATACTCCATATGTTGCCCAGCTGCCTCTTGTAGATTTCGTTTTCTTTTGAAAATGTCAAGAGGGAGTGGTGTAAAGTGGTTAGTGATGTAATCTCTCAGCATACAAGAAGCTGGCTTGACATCTTCTCAGTTGTCTCCTGCAAAAGCCCGTGTACGCCCTACGGAACACACGAACTTGTACGCCGAAGTTGCAAGGAGATACGTTCAACGAGCTCTTTAGGTCATTCATTGACGAAGACGAAATCCTCAGGCAGCATTCGCAAAAGCACGCGAAATGGTCAAAGACCTGAATCACTTTTATATTTTCCTTGTTTTTAGCAGTGGTAAGGTGTTCTAAATATGCATCTACAAGTGTTCAGGGGTATGCAAACATTCGACATTACTTGATGATACAACCCACATTTCAATCATATCTAGGTATCCCTACAGGTGGCGGTAGCACGCTCCCTTGGTATTTGTGAAACGCTAGTTCAAATGCGCGTGATGTCAAAAGTTTGCATAACACTCATACTCCTAAATCAACATTCGAAGACCTTTGGAAAATGCATGCGAGGAAACGAATCTAATGCTAGAAGTGTTGGTGTCTAATAGTTTTGAATGCTGTAGATTGCCGGTTGAGGTGGTTCTTTTCGAAATTTCGAGGGTAGTCGAGTTAAGGCGTTCCTAGAAGTTTCTTGATTGATTATAAGAAAGAGTTGGGGAGGGTAATGAGCTACGGCATCGCTTATCATCCCACTTTGTGATACACTGCCACTAACCACTAAGCTACCTCCCCAGCTTGATACATAACATGGTCCACATAGTCCACAGCGTTCGTTATGAAACCACCTTTATAGGGAAGCTTATCGAACCTTCCCAAAGCATTAAGTGTGTATAAATTCGTCATGTCGCTAAGCAAGTATGCTATCAAATCACAGTCATGGAAGGGCTAAGGGCAATCTAGTATGAAGTTTGTAACGAAACCAGCAATCATATATACCATAAACCACCTCTGTTACTGAGTAAATAGCTCTTTTGATGTGCATTGAATTGATGAAAAGCATATGAAGTTAACTAAGGCATAGCCATAGACATCAGATATATTCTTCAAAACAATGATGATTCAGAACCAATAGTGAATTTGTATGAAGGCAGATCAAAATCCAAAAGTGAAATTCATCCAAGAAAGACAGGTATGCTAGCTTAAAACTAAATTTATCATATTCTCGCTATAATGCTAACATTTCAGAAAATGTATCCAAAGTGACTCTACAGTCTGCGTCAGTTCCATACAAAGTGAGTGCTTTCGGTCTGAATGTTCGAAATTAAAGCAGTAAAGATTGCTGCATTATAGAAAAGGTATCCAAAGCTGATTCTACGGCTTTCGCCAGTGCCTTGCAGTTTTTTTTCGGTCTAAGTGTTTGAGCTGGCAGCAAGAGCATGATATCAGATGAAATACTTTTGTGAAACTAGCTCATCTTAACCTCTCATTACTCCAAATGTTTTTATATCTCTATAAATCTCTCCATTTTCATCTGAGCCAGCATGTCATGGGATCTGGTAAAGGGCTCTTGTACAACCCGATACACGTGTTCCGACCATGTATTCTCGCCAGTCAGGTAGAGCACGTTGTTTTTCAATCTTTTTAGCCAATCCTCTGTGAATGATCCATTCCCCAGACTAAGAGGCATGGAAGACGATCGCTTTAACACCGTAAGTCAAGTGACACTATCACAGAACTCACAGGGTTTTGCACTAGATTGCTCTCTGGCTGGTATTTTTTATCATATTTTAGCTTCTTTTCAGTGTTTTCTTGAGATCACGCTCAAATTTTAATAGATCTTGATAGAACACTCGAAATAAGGTTTAATATGATAAAACCAGCCAAAGAGCAATCATTGCACATTGTGCATTGCAGTGTGCACATTGTGGGTTCGGTGATATTTTCACTAGACTTACAGTGTGAAACGTTCGTCTTCAATACCTCTTAGTGTGAGGACTGAAGCACCCACAAGGTTTGGCTAAAAAAAAGATTGAAAGACGACGGGTTCTGCCTGACTGACGAGACTGTAAGGTTGAAACACGGTATCGGGCTGTACAAGAGTTTTTTTACCAGACGACGTGACATGTTGGCTCAAATAAAAATGAAGAGATCTATTGGAATTTGAGTGTGGTCTATAGAGAACATTCAAAAGAAAAGTAGAATATGTTTTTATAGTGTTTTTCATTATACATTTTTCTATGATCTAGCACTTATCAGAAAA